CAGGAATCACAGAATCACAGACTGGTCGGGGTTGGCAGAGCCCTCTGTGGGTCACCCAGCCCAGCCCCCTGCCCAAGCAGGGTCACCCACAGCAGGCTGCACAGCACCGCGTCCAGGCAGGGTTTGAATATCTCCAGAGAAGGAGACTCCACAGCCTCCCTGGGCAGCCTGGGCCAGGGCTCCATCACGGAGCAGGCGGCAGCAGCCCCTCCACATGCAGCCTTGCAGCACTTGAAGCATCAAAGTCCATCTCTGACAGCAGCAGGGCGAAACGAGTCACGGAGCGTGGCGTGAGCTTTGCCTCCCAGCGTCAGCCTTCCTGCGCTGCTCAGCCCGTGAAGCCCTTTCCGTGCAGGAGAAAAGCCCGAGCGTGCCCACAGGCTGTTGCAGAGAGGCAGCTGGCTGGCACAAACCACTGACACCCGGCTGAGCTCCACGCTGGCCTCGTGGCAAAGCCGTCCTGTCAGCCACGTTCCCCAGAGCCTGTGCAGTGAGGGGATGATGAGGAGTTTCTGCTGACGCCTTGTTTCGCAGCCCATAAACTTAGGCAAATGAATCCTGACCGACTGCAGCTTTTGAGGGGACCTTTGGCTAAATGACAGGGCTTTGCTCCTGCTTTCTGTGCTTCTTCTGCTGCTGGGAACAGGGGAGAGCAGTGTGAGGTGGGAACTTCATTTTCTGAGTGCTCCCCGGACCCTGTGTTTGCCACCCTGGCCAGGAGCTGCTCCCAGGGCCATTGCCACCAGCTGCCCCTGCCTAGTGCTCCGTGCCCCCAGGCAGGCTTAGGGTGACACCCAGGTGAGGTGAACGGGGGTTTAAGGAACGAAGAAACCACGTGTGACTTGGTTTTCCCCTGCTGAGAGAAAGACAAAGATGAGAAGTAAAGCAGTGGGCTGATCTGTGAGATTGTTCCAGCACAGAACCTGCTTTAGCTGCTCTCCCAGGACTGTTCTTGTTCCGTTTCTGCAAGGAAAATTCAGCTTGGGGAGCCCCAGAGAAAGAGGAAGCCTAGATCCTAATTCGGTGTTGACAAACCCTCAGCCCTTCTGCCAGGTTGCCCATCACAGAGAAGTCAAAGTGTCAGCGATGACACTCAAAGGACGCGTGGCAGCAGAGCGGGGCCCTGACGCGGGGCTGAGAAGGGGCTGTGGGGGAATGAGGAGGGGGTGCGGGATCTCAGGAGGGGGTGCAGGGGCCTGAGAAAGGGGTGCAGCTGCAGGGACAGATGAGCTCTGGGTGCTGCCTGTTCCTGCCCGTCCCCCCAGAGCTCACGGCAGCGCTGGGCCCGACACAGCCCAACGCCCGGGGAGATGCAGGGATGGCCAAGGGACACCGGCTGATGGCAGGGAGGGCAGTGGTGGTTGTGCATGCGAGGGTACCACTGCACTTAGGGGCAACAGCACATGGGATGTCCTAACTCCAGTGTTTCCAGGGGCAGGGGACAGGCTGCGGTAGCTTCTCTGCCTCGGCTCCCTGCTCAGAGGAGCATCCGCGCAGTGCCTGCCATCACGGGAGTGGCATTCGCAACTGTGCGGTGTGACACCAGGGCTCGCCTTTCACCAGCTGGCATTTACAGGGCTCAGCCCTGGCTTTGTAAGGCTTCGCAGGGCATGGATTGTGGGGATTCCTGTGTGCGAGACTGGAAGTCCCAATCCAGCAACTAAAACCTCATTCAGGACCATGTCTGGTCATGGAAAATTTTCTGGAGAAGTCAACCGTTAAACTATGAGAAACTGTTGAAAGCAGAGCTAGAAGGGAAGAAGTGTTTTTCCAAGCTCGGATCTCAGGAGGGACTTTGTAAGAGCAAAGCTTACAGAAATGTCTTGTGCAGTCACGCTGGCTTCGGAGGCTTCGTTCCTGCAAGAAGGCTGAGGGGGAGAGCTGTGAGCGGGGAGGGTGAGTTTACCAGGACAAGGCTGAGTCAATCTGCTGGAGACAGAGTTCTCCAGCGTGCCTGTGTCCCACACCTGTGAGGGTATGGAGGACCCGAGTCCTCACCCAGATCAGCAGCAGCTCGGGTGCCTCTCTCCTGCGGACCTGGCCTTGGTGATTTAGGCACTGAGCGTCCCCTTCGTCCCCCCCCTCCCCACAGAGGACCCTGAGGGGATTGCCAGTGGGGCTGAACTGCACCTCCTCCCCACGCTGCATTAATGGCCTCAGGTTGCGTCAGGGGAGGTTCAGGTTGGATATTAGGAAAAATTTCTTTACTGAAAGAGTGGTCAGGCGTTGGAACAGGCTGCCCAGGGCAGTGGTGGAGTCACCGTCCCTGGAGGGGTTCAAGAAACATGTAAATGTGGCACTTCAGGATATGGTTTAGCAGGCAGGGTGGTGATGGGTTGACCATTGGACTTGATGATCTTAGAGGTCTTTTCCAACCTTAATGATTTGATGATTCTATGAGTGTAAGAGCCAGGCTGCTGCCAGCCTTGCCTTGTCCTCACCGCCGGCCCGGCGCTGGGGACTCCTCTCCTTATGCTCCGAGCTAAGCTGGCAAAGCTTCGCAGTAGGCTCCTAAAGCCTCTTGGCTTCCCTGACGGGAAAGCCCCTGTAGAAGCGGAGCTTCACCGGCCGGGTGAAGCCTGCAGAGGCTCCAGCCCG